CTGAAAGATGCGCAAGGGAAAGTGATCCCAACATTGCTTGTGAGGCAGAACGTGACGTTTGTTTTCACGAAGGAGTCTGGAAAGAAATTGAAGATCACGGACAGTGCTGTTTGCGGCAATGTCACCCAACCTTTGTTTGCTGTAGGAAAGATGTGGAAGTTAGGTTGGGGCACGGTGAATGAGGATGGACAGTTGTGGTTGAAGAAAGGAAGTGTTCGGATACCGATCTATTTCAAAAGGAAATCCTCAATCGCGAGGATGTGCATCAGGAGACTTGAAGACGCGGAAGAGATGAATATCCAGCCTGTGAGGCTGGAAAGAGAACTGAAGCAAGAGCTTAAGAGCAAAGAAGATGAGGATGGTTGGTTTGTGCTGAACGATGGCACACCTGCAAGGTTTGATTGGTATATGGGGAAGACGTTTGACCCAACAGGTCAGTTCCCGAACCGACTCTACGAGGGAGAAGGAGATGAAGGTGATTACTTTCCGTACCGAACAACCTTGCTTGGAAAGCTAAAAAGAAGTGGAGAAAGAGTTCTGAATGAAGTGGATTGGAAAAGTATGGATTTCTTTCAGTGCGCTGAGATTTGGAAGGATCGCGAAAGAGTTCAGCTTGGAGCGAGTCCTCAAGACAGGTTTGAGGTGATGGTCATCTTGTTGGAGAAAGGAAGGAAAGAACCGAGTGACTACGGGTTGCTCACGAAAGAGAGTTGGCGCAGGAAGGAGTGCCAATGGAGGTCACAGGGACCTCAACGGGTTCAAGAGAAAAGAAAGAAAGCGAGAAGGAGGAACCCAGACGAGGAGTACCGGTGATTGGAGAAGATGAGGAAGAAGTCATGGTGATTGGACCAATGAAGATGACACGCCAGAGTGAGTTGAAGGAGATGAAGGCGGCGTGCAAGTATCTTCATATCTCCAAGAATGGATCAAGGGAGATTTTGTGGAAGAGACTCAAGAAAGAGGTTGCGTTAAGCAAGGTGAAGGCGCAAGCCCAAATCTCGGAAGACATTTGGAAAGAATTCGAGCGCGAGCCCATTCCTGAGGCTCTGCCGGCTTTGCCGAGCCCGGAAGAGATATATAGAAGCTCATGAGTTGACGCATCTGCCGAGAGCGCCCTGGTGTGAAGCATGCCAGGCGGCAAAGAGTAGAGAAGACAACTTTGAAGAGACCAAAGAGAAAGCGCAACGGCCCGTGTTTAGTGTGGACTTTAAGTTCACAGGAACGCAAGGAGACGAAAAGGAAAGAGATCCGCTTGCTATTCAACTTGCTGGTGTTGACAATGACACAAAGCTCCTGATAGCTATCGCGGTGCCAACGAAAGGAGGAGATGCGGTCATTAACCATGCGGTGAGTGAAGTGGTGAGAGTGCTAGCCCTTTTGGGTTACGCGGAAGTGGTTCTAAGGACAGACACAGAGCCAGTGATGGTTGCCATCAGAAGAGGAGTTCAAGTGGCAAGAGCCAAACAAGGCTTGAAAACGGAGTTGCAAGATGCCACGCCAGATGAACATCAAGGGTTGCCTGTTGAGAGGTATATCCAGACTGTGAGGAACCTAGCGAAGACGTTGTTGGCAACGGTGGAACAAAGGAGTGGAACGGCCATCGGATCTGACGTCCCGCTTTATAGCTGGGCGTACAGACATGCAGCATGGCTGCATAACAGGTTTCATGTTGGAAAAGATGGCAGGACAGCGTTTGAAGCAACAGTGGACCGAAGGTACAAAGGGAAGTTGGCCCCGTTCGGGTCAGCAGTGTTCGGAAAGGCTGTGCCCAAAGTGAAGGAAAAGGAGAACCTTGGGAAAAGGGAGTCTTTCTTGGAAAAGACTACGCGAGCAATTTGAAGTTACATTCTTTGAACACTTGCAGAAGATATGGCTTTATCGTTCGAAGAAAAACAACATGACAAAATGACTCCGAGAACTGAGTCCAATTTTGATTTGTTGTTTTAGGGCTTTTCTTTTACACTGCCTTTTTATGAACCCTCATTTATACATGCTGTAAACCAGTTGAAGAATACATTCACCCGTCGCAGCTTGACCTCTCGAAGGGGCAGGAAGCCCTGAATCGGGCGAGAGAGTTTTATTTGAAATACCCACCCTCTCCACCCTAATTTGTCCGTGGAACGTGCAGGGATTACATCAGTGTTGTGCTACCTCAGGAAGCTTTGGACCTCTGCTTGAGGTTACTCAGGTATGCTTTGTGCATTTAAGACCTGGTTCGGGTCTTGGCTCTCTGCTTCGCAGTTCTTTCGGTCTTGCTCGTCTTCGACTGGCAGGCTGTTCACTAAGGTTCAGATTGTGAGCCGTGCACGGCTTGAGAGTGGCTTGTACTCCTTACGGAGGGGACGAAAAGAGTCTTGTGTCTCACAGGACCGACAGTTCGAAGATATCTGCCGTGTGCGGTACTTGCTACCCCACCGTGTGAAAATAGCGTCGAGCTTTGAACTTCTTGCATGTGACATGTGTGAGTGCAAGCATTCATCCCTGAAGGTTCAAACATGATAGACATCAAAACACAAAGCACGATCTTTGAACGATAACTTGATTGGCACAGGCCGAGGAGTGATCAAGGCGAGAACGATGAGAAGATGTGCCACGGCATATCAGCCGGAGCTTTTGCAGCTTTCGGTTGGAGCTCCATGGGATCATCAGTTGAAGGCGTTGCGGTTCAAGAAGAAAAGAATTGTGCCTATTGAAGATGGGCCCGGATTGCCTAGGTTGGCCGTCGAGGCAGAAAGAAAAGGAGAAGAAGAAAGAAGAAGTGATAATGATGGTTGTCATGCTGTGCAACAGTAGCTTGTGGAGAAGCTTTGTTGAAAGTGTTGAGTACATGTTTCATGCCGCCGCCGTTTTCTACTCAAGGAAAGAAGTGAAAGAAAAAGAGGTTGAAGAAGTTTGGAAAGAAAAAGAAAAGAGAGAAAGAAAAATGGCAGGAAGTGAAGGTGTGATGGAAAAGACAAAGCAGGCTCTGGTGGAAGCCTACGAAGCACAACTGAAAGCGATGATTGCGAACGAAGCCGAGTCGATAGAGTCAGTGGAGTGAAAACAGCGAGAAGCGACGAAAAGAGAGTGAACCTCTTCGACGTGCGGAAGGAGGTAGTGAACCTCAACAAACTCGCACCGAAAAGTGTGCAGCAGAGTGCGGCTGCCGAGTCTAGTGGAGACCAAAGCGATGTAATGAAGCTCCGGACGGAGGAGCTCTTGCAGAAGCAAGAAGAGGCCAAGGCAAGGCGCCAGGCCCAGGTAGAGAAAGCAAACGAAGAAAAAGAAAAGCGAGAGCCGAGGAGCCAAAGGAAGAACCAACGAAGGCCGAAGAGCCAAAAGAAGAGCCAAAGGAAGAGCCGCAGAAGGCCAAAGAGCCGAAAGAAGAAAAAGAAAAGGACGACGAGCCGGAGAGCTCGGAGAAAGAAGAGGAGGAGAGCTCAGAGAGAGAAGAAGAGGAGAGCTCGGAGAAAGAAGAAGAGGAGAAAGGACAAAGAAAAAGAAGGAAGAGAAGGAGTCATCCGACGAAGAGTTTCAAGAGATTATGAAGAAGTTTGCGAAGAAGTCGGTGACGAAAGAGGAAGAGAGGGTCCGGGAAATTCTCGGAGAGATGAAGGATCTTCAGGCGAAGATCGACGAGAAAAGGAAGAAGTTTGCGGTCTACAGCGACCACTATGCCTACAGGCAAAAGCAGAAGAAGTTGAAAGAGGAAGAGAAGGAGTGCCTCATCAAGAAGGAGGCGGAAGTGAAAGAGGAAATGAGAAAGATTGCCGAAGAGGCATATGTGGAAAAAGAGAAGATCGAGAAGCAGCTGGAGACGATCCGAAAGGAAGAAGAGATTCAAGAGGCCGAAGCAACGCAGGTGATGGATGAAGAGGCTGAGCTTATAGCCGAGATGGATGTGATGCGGGCAAGGCTTGCACAAGCGTTGCGAGAGCTGCGCGAGAAGCGCAAGGAGATGAAGCTTCCGGATGAGAAGCTGGAATTGGGTGAAGACGCAAAGACAGTGTTGGAAGAGTTCGAAAAGAAAAGAGAAAGGCCAAGGAGATCAGAGAGATCAAAGAGGCAAAGGAGAAAGAAGTGAAAGAAGAAGTAGTGAAGAAAGTTTTCCCGCACGCGTGCCCACCATTTTACTTGTATTTCACATGTGTTTTACAGTCATACTCTTTTTCTCTGCAGTTTCACTTGAGATCTCTACTTCCGTGCGAAATCATGGCTCAAGAAATGAGGGTTGTGGGACTCTGTTTTTCTTCATGGTAGCGGAGCTCGACCGAGCTCCAGGGTCCTTCGGGTTTCGTTCAGGGAACCAGGACCTCAGCTTTGAATTTGCGGTTCGTTGTTGGGGAACTCGTGTAGTGTAAGCGCGGCCGGGTAGCCTGCAATCCTGCCGCCGAGCAGAAGAGCCATATCCTGGTGCCAGCGCCTCGAACAGAGTGTCAGACGGTTGCCGTATCAATCTGACATTGCATTGCAAATCCTTCTGTGCTGCTTTGTGCGTTAGCCTAGAGCCTCCTGAGCATTGCATTGCATTTGAGTGATTGATTTGAAAGTGGAGAGATGGCTGCCGCAGCAGCCGCCGGGCCTCCGATCCCGGACGATGACAGTGATCCTGAAGAGTTGGGTCCTGTGGAAGGGCCTCAGCTTCCGCCTTTGAATCCTTTTGCAGCCGCGAGCCCAGCTGCAGCTTCGCCGACACATGTGACATTGTCGGCTGAGATGTTTGAGCGTGTGATGCAAGCCGTTGCCTCTTCTAGAAGCAGTAGCAGCCCCGAAGGATTGGATTCCCGTGACTTGCTGCGCCTTCTGCCGAAACCGGAAGTCTTTAAGGTGCCTCCCAAGCAGGATGAACATGCGGCATGGCTTAGCTGGTGGTGGGGCACAAGGCAATACATTACTGCGTTGGACCAGCGCTTTGACAGTGACATAGCTGTGATCGAGGCAAACCTGTCTCGAGAGGTTGTTCTTTCGCCTTCGGACCCACAGGGGACAGCCGTCAGGTCAGCTCAATTGTATGCCATATTGTGCTCACTCCTGAAAGGAAAGGCGCTTTCCATTGTGCGCCAGATCGACAGCAAGCGAGGGTACGAAGCACTTCGACTGTTGCTTATGCAATATCAGCCTCCCTCGAAGGTTCGGTCTTTGGGCATTCTGTCTGCATTGACTACCATCAAATCCTTTGACCACCGACAGCCCATTCTGCCTCAGCTTCTTGAGTTAGAGCGTGCCTTTGAAGAATACCAGCGTGCCAGGAGTCCTTGAAAAGTGCTCTTCTTCTGAGGAGCATTACGGCGAGCACGCGCTCGCACATCGCAGCCTCCCTGGATGAGAATGCAAGCTACAGCACGTTGCGTGAGTGTGTGCTTAAGTTTGAGAGAACTCAGTTCAAGTGGTCTGGCATGCACGTGTTTTCACCTGATGGCTTGTTTGCAGCTAGCAACGCCGATGCTGGCGGTCAGCAGCCAATGGATGTCGATGCCGTTACCAAAGGCAAAGATCGGAAAGGCAAGAAAGGACCCAAAGGCAAAGGCAAGGGTGACAAAGGCAAGCAGGGCAAAGGTCAGTGGAACTACCAGCAGAACCAGTGGGGTCAGCCGAAAGGCAAAGGCAAAGGTGACAAAGGCAATAAAGGCAAGCAGCAGCCGTGGCAGGGCAACCAATGGCAAGGCAAAGGTCAGTGGAACCAGCAGTCATGGCGCCGTGTCACAGGTCACCGATGCGAGCACTGCAGTGCCGCAGCAGAGTCCGTGCCCGAGCCCAGCCGCATCTACATCTCAGGTCCAGGGTGCGGTTCGCAGGGTTGACTTCGCGGATGGATTTGTTTTCGACATGACAAGCCTCGATAATGCCCCTGTGTCGCAGTTTCGCGTGCAGACCATCACTTTGCCTAGTGATTGCGCAAGTGTGTGCAGTGATGTGTGTGATTCAGAGAACAACGACGAGATCCATTGCAATCACCTGCCACAGTCTGGGCCCCAGGCCGCATGCGAGCCAAGCTTGGAATTTTCATTTTCGGACGATTTTAGCTTGGATGCCAATTTTCATGAATCCCCAACTTTCAGTGCAGCCGCATCGCCGAGCAGTCACATGTCCAGTTGGTGTGACGTGTGTGAGTCATAACAACTACGAGATCCGTTGCAATCACCTCCAGTCTGGGCCTCTTTGTTTTGACATGTCATACAGCGATGACAAGAGTGACTGGGTCCATGCGTCAGCGACTGGAGACGCCGTGTGCATTTTGCCTGAGTGTCCCCAGTCCTTCGGTGATTGGTCGTACGATGGCACCATGGGTCCTACGCCTGAGTGCCACTCAGAGTCAAGTGCAACGCCTCAGAGTTTTGTCCGTGCTGTGTGCCAGGAGCTTGAAACAGTGATTGTCGACAGCGGTGCTGATCTGTCATGTGTGCCGTTCAGTTATAGCACAGCAGGAGAGAAGGTTGCCAAGGCATTTTCAGCTCAGGTCAGGGATGCACAAGGTTCCAAGATGAAGGTTGCAGCGCAAAGGAACATCCAGTTCCAGATCACCGGCCGCGATGGCCGTCCCATCACGTTGCGTGAAAAGTGCATTGCAACTGGGGTGTCCCAGCCTCTTCTTTCTCTCGGCCGGTTGATCAAAGCCGGATGGTACCCCTCGCGAGATGACTATGGCATGTTCCTTGTGCATCAGCAGTCAGGAGCTGAGATTCCCATGCAGTTCAAAGGCAACAGCCTGAGCTTGGATGCTTCAGTGTTTCGGGTTGAAGATGACATCGATGCCATAGGTGAGCCGATTGCACATGTTCGGTTTACTCTTGCTGAGCCTTCAGATGAGCTTGAGAACTCGCCTTATGGCTGGCACATGTCTACGAGCGGGAACCATTTTGTGTGGAGAGGAGTCACTTCCTTGTACATTGATCCCTCCTTGCTCGTTCCCTTGACTCTTCCTTGCAGGACCACGCTTGTGCATTACCAAGGGTCATGGAAAATCCTTGAAAAGTCCGTCGAGTGGCAGCTGCTGATCAATGCCACGGCGCCGCTCCCGTGTGGCGAGGCCGACTGCATCACCATTTTGAGCAGCGGCGATGAGGATCCTGAGATTTTCGGAGTCAAGGTTGAAGGTGCCGTTGAGTCTTACAGTGGCGAGCAAGGTGAACCCGAGCCGCAGGCCGACTTCGGCGCTGACGCGCCCGAGGGAGTTGATTTTGATTTTGATTTTCACATGGGCCAAGAGCCAGAGGAAGTCGCACCAGTGCCGGAGCCAGTTGCAGATGCATTTGAGGCGCCGCCAGTGCGCCAGCAAGTAGACCAGGATGTTGTGATTGACGGCGTCGCTCTTTCTGTGCATTCCGCCCTCGGGGCGTTGAAGGCTGCCTGCGAGAAGTTAGGGCTAAGTAAGTCCGGCTCGAAGCAACGCTGCTTTGATCGCTTGAAGGCCTACCAGCAAAAGCAACAGCTCTCGGCCGAGGTTGAAATTTCGCGACACGCCGCCGATGCTTCCTCCCGTGACCCAAACATGCAGCCGATGCCAGCGCCGCCCTCTCGTGAGGCGCAGTTGCTGCATGAGGTCACCCACCTGCCATATGCTGCGTGGTGCAGCCACTGTGTGATGATGAAGGCAGTGCCGGACCGGCATACGGTGGATCCCAAGGGTTCTCGTGCCTACCCTACCATAAGCTTACCGTTTGGGTTCCCCAAAAGGATTGTCTCGTGGTTTGAGCCGGGAGGGTGGGCCGGGGGAAAAATGAAAAACTTTGCGTCAGGCTTCGCGCCGCTTGGAAAGTACTTTGGTAATTTCGTAGATTGCAATGCCATGAGTTCCTCTTGCTTGTCTGCACTAACTGCGTTTTGCTTGAGCTCAGGTCAACTGTACGAATGTCGTTGGTGTGTGAGGGGCGGGTAGACCTGCGGCTCGATAGGCATGGGCAGCGAGCTCAGCAGCAGTCGGCATGAAGAGACATGCCGATTGGTCGGCGCTGCATGGTCTTGATCCTGCATTGATTGCTGCTATCCGTGAGAATTATTCGAGCATTGTGCATTTTGATGGGGCTTTTGATGATGAGGGCGAAGCAGCAAATACAGTGGAGGAGCTCCTTGGGGATAAGAAGCCAGCTGAAGAAATCAACAAGTTGGCAAGCAGCTTGTGGAACTGGAAGGAGAAACGGTTGCATCGTGGGCCATCAAGTGTTCGCATTTTGCAGGAGCACATCCGCGAGCTTCCCGTGAAGGTTCCAAGGAAGATGAGGGACATCACAGCGGTGTTTGAAGACGAGGTGCAGATGACTCCAGCTGTTGCGTTGTCGCAATTGAAGAGGGCTGTGAGAACTTCAAAGGCGAGTGGGAGCCGGGAAGAGATGGAAACGAAGATCCGAGAAAGATGGGCGATGCAGCTCGTAGTGTATATCAAGGAAGCAGAGTTGCCTTGCTCAGAACGCCTGGAAGCACTGGGCGACAGCAAGGCGACGTGGTTGAGGATCTTTGGAAATCGGCGAGGCAAAACACTTCGGAATCGGGCGCGTTCTTGGATGCCAGTGAGAGAATGGCTAATGGTGACTACTGGGGCCCCGTGGCCGGCAGATGTGGGACAAATCCTGAAATATCTTGAGGAGCGACATGCTGTGAAGGCGATGGGTAAGACAGTGCCGCGGGCAATATTGGCGAGCATCTCTCTTCTTGAAGTTGTGGGAATGGTTCCGTCTGAGCGGCGGCTGTGTGAAGACCAGCTCTTGCTTGAAACGATTCGGTCATGGAGTGCTGAGCTTGAGACTGGTGCACCACCGGCCAAACCAGCGCCAATGTTGCCCGTGGTGGTGCTGCTAGCTTGTGAGCTGGTGGTTTGCCGGCCCAGCTACGAGGTGGGATTGCGATACATGGCTTTCATCTTGCTGTTGATGTGCTGGGCTAGCCTGAGAGCTGATGACGTGCAGAACATCAGTCCTACGTCTGTGAAGCTCAGCCAGGTGGGTCTGCGATTCGTTTTGAATAAGACTAAAACGAGTGGACCGGGCCGCAAGGTTGGGGAACTTCATGGATTTGTCTCTCGCGCTGCTTGCTTGAGTGGGTTTGACTGGATTATGGAAGGGCACAAGCTTCTCTCTGCAGAACTGCTCGCGTGGCCTCGTGATTTTCTCTGTCCTGCATTCACGAAAGACTGGGACGGGGCCTCAAAGGAATACATGGAGGCAGAAGGGCTAGCATTGCAGATCAGACGTTTCCTTCAGCATCTCCCCACTCCTGTCAGGCAGCAGGGAATCTGGAAAGTTTCGAGAGAGCTCTTGTTGCCAGGTCAGATGGCAAATTACTGGTCAGGGCACAGCGCGAGGCATGTGCTAACAAGCTTGGCAGCAGCACTTGGCATAAGCAAGGATCGGCGGGACTATCTAGGCCGATGGGCCTACGCAGAGCATGGTTCGCAGGACTATGTGCTGACTTCGAGGCAGGTGGTGCAAGCAGTGCAGAACTTTGTTTGCAAGAGCCTGCTGATCGGAAGTCCGGAGGGAGGCTACATCGAGGAAGAGCTTCTCTTCTCGATAAAGACTTTTGCTGAGGGCCTGGGGCTTGAGAGTGTTGCAATCCTGAATGCATGCACTGTCTTGAAATGGGATGAAAGTGAAGAGACCTTCAAGCTAGGGGGCGCGTTTCCCAGCATCCCGTTGGGGCCTGACCGGGTCCGGGCTTCAGCAGGCGATCTTGATGCAGAGTTGCCTGGGCCTTATGAGGCATTTGAAGGCGGGGAAGATACTGATGAGGCTCCGTACTTCATCACCGTCTCCAGGCGGGGTTTCCGCCGTCTTCACTTGTCAAAGAGCTGTGCTGTGAGACGGGAGAACTGCCTTGAGACTATACCGGTCATGAAACTGACCGAGGGCATTGCTGATGCTGTATGCAAGTTGTGTCGCCCGAAGATTGAGAGCTGCGATGATTCATCCACTAGCGGGTCGGAGGACTCGCAGGAAGGGCAAGGGACTGAGCCAGAAGCGCTTGAGCCATCAGTGCCGAGTTTTACTTGAAGAGGCTGTGTTCTTGAAAAGGGTTCGGGGAGAGCCTGCTGAGTTTACAGACTGCAGGTGGAAGCAGTGCATTGTGAACAGTTCATGAGCTTGCTGCGGGTGGAATGCAGCAGAATGATAGAGTGATGCCGGTGGAAGTGCATCACCATGAATCGGAATTCCTTGCCCGGTGGAAGGCACTCGAGCTTCAGTCATGCAATTGGATGAACATGCATGGTAGATGTCAACTGAGCTTGCGTGTGCAGAGGCTTTGAGAACGGCTTAAGTTATCCTGCGTTGCACTGCTCATAAGTCCGGTGTTGAGTCCAGGAACAAGTCCAGCATGGCCGCACCTCCGCCGACTGAGTTGCCGGCGGGAACCTCCGAGGCAGCTGCTCTGTATTTCTTGGATAAAGAGGTCAGCTCCGATTTGGTGCACATCTTTCAAGAATGTGGTGTACCATTGGGGTTACAGTTTCGGCTGGCGCAGAACTTCAAGAATGTGAAGCGTTTTTCGACTTATGCTGACACTCGTGCTGACGTGAGAGTTGCATTAAAGGATGATCACTTGCTGGAGGCAACCAATCAGGCGAGCAGAGCGGCGGTTGCTTCTGTTGTTTCTGCGTGGGAGACTTCCAAGGATTATGCCAGCAAGGAGTCCGAGCTAAGAGCTGAGGCACGCATGCTGGGAGTGAGTCGGCCAGTCACTCAGACGGAGAAACAGGCGATGCGCATTGCATTCGAGACTGCACATGGCACCTTAGAGGAGGCGTTTGAACCTTCAGATGATTACATTTCAGCAAAATTAGAAGAGATCGAGAACGGGGAGGTTTCTGCAA